GAGAACAGGTTTGTCCTGGAGAGGGTGAAGCCAGAATGCTCCTTGGAGTCAAGGATTCTGAAGCTTCATCTGACATACTTTGGGCATGTTACAAGGAGGGACTGGTCCTTGGAGAGGGACATCATGTTTGGGAGAGTGGAGGGGCGGCGAAGGAGAGGAAGACCTTTGATGAGAGGGATTGATTCTGTAATGGGAGTGGTGGGAATGAGTGCGTTTGAGATGTCTAGATTGGCACTGGATAGAACGACTCATAGGGTCGCTATGAGTTGCAAGCAACTTAATGGCACTTAACAATAATCAGAACTTTTAAAAAATCTCTTTCTGCCCATATTCAATAATTATTAGTGGTACTTAGACCTAGGACCTGGTCCTTTCCTGTTATATCCACTTGGTTTTAATATTTACTACTCATTAAACCTCAACCACTCTGAATGACATCCAAATTTTATATCCAGTCTTGATTTGTTCTTTCCCAAATCAGCAATAATCAAGACTTTGAAAGGGATGTTTTATGGACATATCTGAGCTAAAAAACCGTATCTCAAACTTCCATGCCAACGACCATACTTACTCTTCATTCAGTCTTCTAACTCTCCTTTGTTTTCATGATTTCCTGGACAGTCTTCCCAATCAGAAGTCTCTTTTCGTCTCAATAATTAAGGTAGATTCCCCCCATTTATTAACTGATGTATTCTTTCAACAAATAGTTAACTGTCTCCTATGTGTCAGGTATTCTTGGACCAGGTACACAAAGATAAGTTGAGCATGAGATCAGAGGCATACGAACAATTATGATATGGGACAAATATCACAATAAAAGCTTTTATGAAAAATATGAAAAACAAATGCAAACTACGAGAGTTGGGGAAAATTTCCCCCACAACGGTAAACTTAAGTAGTTGGGGGTTTTTAAAAAGGATAAATAGTTCCATCAGGTTGCAAGGTGCAAGAGCTGAAGGAGGGAGCAGAGGGATAGCTTATACTAAGTCTCAGAGATGTGAAAGGACATGGCAAGCCTGAGGGAGGGTTAGGGGAGAAGATCAAGTGTGGATACAAGACAGAAGAGAGTTACAACAGCCATGTTATATTGTTCAGACCAGTGCTATTTAATACAATTTTCTGCACTGATGGAAACATTCTACATCCACACAGTTCAACACAGTGGCCATAGTCACACATGGTTATTAAGCAATTAAAGTGTGGCTAGTATGACTGAGGAACTGAATTTAAATTTCATTTTACTTAATTTAACCTTCCCGTGACTCACAGGCTGTATACTGCCCATCAACTTTTCAGTGGCTATTGGACTGAACATAGGTTTAAGCACTGGATAAAGGACAAGACTTTAGATTTTAGGATGTCACTGAAGGTTTTTAAGTATAATACAAACAATTAGATATTTAACAGAGAAAGCACTGACCGTAAGTTACAGAATTTGGAGTATTTAACTTACATGGAAATCTCTTGTAGATGATGCCATGAATTGAACTGTCACCCCAAAAATACATGTAAATAATGTGAAAGCTATATAATGAGCCCCCGTGATCTGATGAAATCAAATAATTACAAAGAATTAACGCTGGAAAGCAACACCCCATAATCACACCACAGTCCTCATCTGTAACACCGCTTTTCTTACAAGAGCCAAGGGAGTGAGGGAAGTTTAGTAAAAAGAAAATCACCAGGAATACACTGTAGACTGTGTCCTTCTGGACCCAGGCCTCTGCTTTTAAGGAGGCTCCCTGATAAGAGGTCAGGATGCATGGAGATCTCCAAGGAATGCCTGGTGTACAGCTGCTGAAGGAAACAAGGACTTTCTTCCAGAACTGGCACAGAGAGGGGGATTTCTCAAGCTGGTACATTGAATTTGGAAAGCCTCCTGAGTTCTGGTGGCCTACTGGTTAATGAGTTGAGCTGTCAACCCAAAAGGAGGTGGTTCGAGTCTACCGGCTGCTCCATGGAAGAAAGATGTGCAACCTTCTTCCATGTGATTTACAGCCTCTGAAAACCTACTGGAAAATCAAGTCCAACCTGACAGCAGAAACAACAACCTTTAAGAGAATAAATGTGTGTTTGTTAAAACCTTTCAACCACTTGGTGCTATTTCTGTGTAGCAGCACCAGACAACTAAAATGGGTGCAATCAAATGGACGGAATAAGTGGGATTCACATATTAATATTAAAATTTACTGGAATTAGTAACCATTTCAATGTGGGAGTATAAAATCAACTGAGATTAGGTAGGTATCACTAGTTGAGAGAAGATTAGACTAAGGGTAATGAGTTTAATTTGGGGATTTACTGAATTTGAGGTACCTAAGAACTATCTGGAAGGGAGCTCTGGTGGCCTAGTGGCAAGAAGTTGCACTGCAATCCTGAAGGGTTGTGGTTTGAGTTCACCAGCAGCTCATCAGAAAAAAAGATGGACATTCTCCTCCTGTGTAAATAAACTGCCTCTAAAAAGCTGCCAGAAGGTTAGCTATAGGTCAATTCTGACTTGATGGTACACAACAAGAACTATCTGGAGGGAGACCCAGTAACAGTGTGTAATGTATAAGGCTACTAATGGAAAAGTCAGTGGTTTGAATTTACCAGTCCCTCTGAAAGAAAAAGATAAACAGTCTTGGATTTGGTTTTGCTGTTAAGAACTCACTGGGGGAAAAAAAAGAAAAAGAAAAAAAAAGAACTCACTGGGGGCAGTGCTAGTTCAGAGAAAGACGCGAGACACACTGGCCAAGAAAGGAACCCAAGTCTCCTAGATGAATAGAATAGACAAAAGCAGAATTTCCTTATCTACTCCAGACTCACAGTTGTTTTTATTGCATGTTGTTGTGTGCCATCGAATCAGAATCAAACACATAACTGGCCTTCTGGTGGGTTTTCAGAGGCAGTTAATCACACAGGAGGAGACTGCCCATCCTTCTCTTGCTTTTATTACACAGTACATATAATTTTATAAATTGTTTATAATCACATTTCATTTGTACCAGATGGATGTTGGGTTCATGATTTAAATCTTCAGATGTCTTTTAAATGTCAGTCAGTGCATCTTAAGAAATCTGACTTGCTTGTCTATAAAGAAAAGATGCTTTTCCTACTACCTTTCTTTTAGCCAGCCCAATGAGACATTCCAGATTGCATTTGGAGAGTCTGCATGAAGGCAGGTCCAATTAAGTGCAGAAATCTGAGGAAGCCAGGTCATATTCAAGAATCCTAAGAAACAGATACATTCTAAGGCCCCTAAGCAAGCCTTTCTACGTCCCAAATGAGAACTGTTTTTTCTAGTCCATCTCATCCAGAAAGCCCAGCTCACTGCTCTATGGATCCATTCTCTTCCTCAGGGATTATCCGAAACAATGGTGAGAAATACCGATTCTTTTACTTGCAGGCCTCACATGTTTTATCCAAAGCTTCTGCCAAGTTTCATGGTAAGTTTTGCTGATTGTCTAAAGGTTTTAAGTTTCTAGTGGGTGAAAACCACCAGCAGCTTTGTGAGGGAAAGATGGGTAGTCTCTTGCCATTTTGACAGCTTCAGACACAACACTGCTTTGAGTCAGAACTGAATGGATGGCACTGAAAAAAAAATATATATATACACACACACACACATACATATAATATATATACATTTTTTTTAAAAAAAACACACAACTATCAAGTAGTTAAGGAAAATACATTCAATGTCTAATTCTCAGTGTAAAATCTTCAGTATCTCTTTTGTTGGTCATTCCATCCTTCCATCTCACTGTCTCCAGAATTTTAATCTATTATTTTATCTTCTTCTATCAATGATTCAGGGATTAGATGAGTCTCTAGGGTCTGCTTTGCCTTGAAGAGCAGAAGGCTTCGGTCCCAGCTGGTGTTGCCAAAGCAGCATACCAACTCCATGCCATGGTCCTGGGTCAAGATCCGCACAATCTGACTGGCCATATCACCTTGGATGGCGAGTGAGTGAAAGTGGTCAAAATCATGGAGGCCCAGCTTTCGGAGACGCCTTGCAGCTGCCCGGTAACACTTCCAAGGCTGAGGCTCCACCAGAAGATAGCGGCAAAGGGAGGAGAGGTTGGCCAGGAACTCCCACAGGCCCTGGTCCCCATGGTTCAGATGAATCCACATAGTTACTGACATGCAGAAGCCAATGTCAAAAACTGAGCGTCCAAACTGGCTTAAGAAAGAGCTCAGGAGAACCTTCCGGGTCCTATGATTCATGAAGTCCAGAGTAATAAATGTCAAGTCATCAGGGAAAGGGCATCCCTTTTCAGCTCGTTCCACTAGGACTGGATCTATGTCGCAGCAGAGGAAACGGAGTTGTCTTGAGGCATATGAGCAGGTCTCCCCGTCACACAGAGAAAGGAAGTGTCTGTATAGAGCCACACTCAGCTCCTAGAGGAATCCAAAAGACTTTTGTCATAATACTGAACTAGTGATTAGAAGAAAAACTTACCCCTTATCCTCCCACTGACTGCTGGCTTTATAGGGTGTGGGGCTTCTAAACTATACTCGAGGTTAGCTTACGTTTTCCAACAGGTTCACAGCGCCCTCCAGGGTTCACAGGCTATAATGCATCATCTTTTTCTGACACATCTTCCTATATAATGGTAGACTGTGTTGTATGGTTTAAAGTCACAGCCCAACAGATGCAGCAAAGGTGCCTAGTGCTGTGTTTTCCAGCTTAAGCAATAAGCAGGTTTAAAAAAACAAACAGGCAAATGAATCCTATTTTTCTTCTTTCTACTTTTCCTTTGTTTTTAATGGAAACATACTACAGAAAGGAGGAAAGGACTTCAGAGGTATAACCGACATTCTATACCAGGAAGGCAAGGAATATAGATTAAGGTGCCATTTTACAAAAACCTGCTTCTCAAACCAGTGGTTGGGAAGATCTGGATTCCAGAAAGTCTCATGTAGCCTTAACTTTACAGTTTCAATTTTACTACCGCTCTTATGCTTCACCAGCCTCTCTGACATTCTTCTTCTGTATTCATCTCGTCACTGCTGACCTCCTCCAAGCCAAAATCGAATGATTTGTTGTTTTCACCATCTTAGCATCTTTTTTTTTTTGCCTTTAAACAACCATTATAACCTCAAATTTATATTGTTCCAGAAAGTTTTCTCAAGGCATTTTGGTATTTACTATCTCACTTATTCTGGGCAACAATCCTGCTAGACAAATACTTAAGTTTATTTGTACAGATGAAGAAAATGTAGTGAGAAACCAAGGTGTCCAAAAGGAAAATGGATATATAAATATCATATAGTCATTAAGATGGAATGCTAAGTCAGTTAAGGACTTCAGTGTTAACAATATAATTGACTCACAAATACATAATGCTGAGTAAAACAAGACACAAAATATTTGGCAAGCTGCCATTTACATGAACTTCCTCAACAAGTTAAAGTAAACTACAGTGTTTGCTAATAAAGAAAAGCAAGGGAACAATAAGCCAAGAGCTCATGATTAGGAAAAGGTATGATGGCTTTTGGGGTGCTCCAATGTTTTATTTTTTACTTGAACTGTGATCATAAATATTTTATAATGTTTTATGTCTGTTTTATAACTACTCATTAGAGTTCATACACTATTGTTGTTAGGTGCCACTGAGCTAAGAATGACTCACATGAACAACAGATCTGAAGCCTGTCCTATCCTGTGCCATCCTCACAATCTCTGACATACTTGAGCCTTGAGCCCATTACTGCAGTCACAGGGTCAATCAACTGGTTGAAGGTCTTTCTCTCTTTCGCCATCCTTCTGCCTTCCATGATGTCTTTCTCTTAAGGACAGCCTCTCCTAGCAACATGACCAAAGTATATGTGTGATGAAGCTTTATCATCTTTGTCTCCAAGGAACACTCTGGCTGCACCTTTTACAAGACATATATGTTTGTTCTTTTGGCAGTCAATGGGATATTCAACACTCTTCTCCAATACCACAGCTCAAAGGCATCCTTATTCACTGTCCAGCTTCAGGTGCATAGCAAGTGACTGTGAAGACCATGGCCTGAATCATACACACCTTAGGCCTCAAACTAGCATCACTGCTCCTTAATAATTTGGAGAAGTCCCTGACTGTAGACTTTCCCAGTGCAATAAGTCTCCTGATCTCCTGACTGTTGGAGCCATGAGTGTTGATGGTGGATCCAACTAAGGTGAAATTGTTGACAATTTCAATCTTTTCTCCATCAATTATGATGTTGCCTATTGGTCCAGTGGTGAAAATCTTTATTTTCTTGGTGTTAAGATGTAATCCATATTGAAGGCTGTGTTCTTTGATCTTCTGCAGCAAGTGCTCCTCACTTTCAGCAACCAAGACTGTATCATCTACATAACATAGGTTATTGCTGAGTCTTCCTCCGATCCTGATGCCACTTTCTTCTTCATTAAAAGTCCAGTTTCTGGCGTGGGGTTTGAGGTCGAGAGCTGTCCCTGCTGCCGCCACCATGGAGACGTTGTACCGAGTCCCGTTCTTAGTACTCGAATGCCCAAACCTGAAGCTGAAGAAGCCGCCCTGGGTGCATATGCCGTCGGCCATGACGGTGTATGCTCTGGTGGTGGTATCTTACTTCCTCATCACTGGAGGAATAATTTATGATGTTATTGTGGAACCTCCAAGTGTTGGCTCTATGACAGATGAGCATGGACATCAGAGGCCAGTAGCTTTCTTGGCCTACAGAGTAAATGGACAGTATATTATGGAAGGACTTGCATCTAGCTTCCTGTTTACAATGGGAGGTTTAGGTTTCATAATCTTAGACCGATCCAATACACCAAATATTCCAAAGCTCAACAGATTTCTTCTGCTGTTCATTGGATTTGTTTGTGTCCTACTGAGTTTTTTTATGGCCAGAGTATTCATGAGAATGAAACTGCCGGGCTATCTGATGGGTTAGAGTACCCTTTGAGAAGATATCAGTGGATACTGGATTTGCTCCTGTTGCTAAAGTTGTAAAGGCTGTACCAACCCTTGAACATGATGTAAGGGAGAAGAATGAAAAGCAGATGAGATGGAAGAACCTTGTGAAAACGTAGGAAGCTTGTGAGAACTGAGACTAGATTTTCTTCTTGGTACTATCACATTTGACACACTTATCACAGTATTGTTTCCTGCTGATCTCCACCGACATATCAGTGATGTTTAGTGATGTTTTTTCTTCTCAGTTTTTAATTCCTAAAAGAAATATACTCATTTCTATAATACTGAATAAAGTGATTATTTTTTATAGCCCCTTAACATTTCTTGGAGATGGCATTTTTGATTTTCAAACTTGAATGTTAAATCAGGAAGTACGATTCTGTGAGCTGAGAACTCTGGCCAATTGGCGTTATTCTGTGGTGCTTTGCCTTTCAACAGAGGGTGTGATAACTTCAACAGAGTGTGTTATTTCAGGGGTGTATGTATAAGGCTGTTTCCTGAACAATGGAATGTATGAAAGGAGCAGAAATAAATACTTTTTCTAATGAAAAAAAAAAAAAGAGTCCAGTTTCTCTAATACTTTCTCTAATAATGGAGAAAGGTTACAACCTTGACACACACCATTCTTCATTTTAAACCAAGTGTTCCCTTGCTCTAGTTGCACAACAGCCTCCTGGTATAGGTATAGGTTTAGCATGAATACAATTAAGTGTTCTGTGAGCCCCTTCTTCTCAATGTTAGCTGTAGATCCAGCAGGGTTTTGTTCTGTTGTAAATATGCTTGCTATGAGTAGGAGCCAAATCAACAGCACCATCATAGCATACTGTATAATTTTTAAATGCCTACAAATTCTTGGTAGTTAAGTATTATGTGGCAATGCCTCTCCTCTACTTCCTCCATAAGGATGCTCTAGTTTCCTTCTCAACTCTCTCCAATAAAGCTGACCAACTTGCTGTTTTTAAAAGTAACTATTATACACTCTAGATGTAGGTTTTTGTTTATTTTTTGATACATACAGTGAAGAGCAGTGGTGCAAAATGAGTTGTGTTGCTACCTGAAAGGTCAGTAGTTTGAATCCATCAATTGCTTTGAAGAAAAAAGATAAGCATCTCCTCTTATAATGGTTTATAGCCTCAGAAACCTGAAAAAAGGTTGACTGACTGACAAAGCTGTGGATTTGGTTTAGTTTTATTTGTCACTCACTCACTCATTGCTAAGTCTCTGAAGACTGACTTCTTTTGTCCTGTGGAGTCACTAGTGAATTCTAACCACGAGAGGCATCACCTTTGGGTGAGCCATACACCCCTCTACACAGTATGCCACCAGAGCTCTCTATATGTAAAGAGTGTGTTCTACATATATAGAATATGTTGTTGTTGTCATGTACAACAACAAGTCATGGTGTCAAGTTGGAACCAAAACATAGCTGATCCCCCAGTGGGTTTTCAGAGGCAGTTATTTGCACGGGAGGAGACCGTTCATCCTTTTCCTGCAGAGCAGCTGGTGGATTTGAACTGCATGCCTTCATTATTGCAGCACAGCTTCTTGCCACTAAGCCACCAGTGCTCATATAGAAAACAGTTCTATACATAGACCAAAACAAACTGTGGTTAACTCTAAGAAGAATGGGAATCCCAGAACACTTGATCATGCTTATGCAAAACCTATACCTGGACCAGGAGGCAATCATCAGCACAGAGTATGGAAACACTGCGTGGTTCAAAATTGGGAAGGTTGTACGCCAGGAATGTGTCCTATCTCCATACCTTTTCAATCTATACGCAGAACAGATTATCTGGGAGGTTGGGCTCTATGAGGAGAAATGTGGCAACAGGATTGAAGGAAGACTCATCAACAATCTGCATTATGCAGATGACACAACCCTGCTTGCTGAAACTAAGGAAGACCTGAAGCGCTTGCTGCAGAAGGTCAAGGACTACAAACTTCAATATGGATTGAAGCTCAGTATCAAGAAAACAAAGATTTTTACTAGTAGGCCAATTGGCAGCATCCTGATAGGTGGTGAAGTGATTGAGACTGTTAACAGCTTTAGTTTGCTTGGCTCCACAATCACACTCTTGGCACAAGAAGCCAGGAAATTAAAAGACAAATTGCATTAGGTAAATCTGCCTTTAGGGACCTTCCCAGAGTACTGAGAAGCAACGATGTCAGTCTAGAGACTAAGGTGTGCCTGATCCAGTCCATGGTCTTTGTAATTACTTGCTAAACATCAGAAAGCTGGACAATAACTAAGGATGGCAGAAGAAGAATTGATACCTTTGAGTCGTGGAGAAGAGTCTTGAACATACCATGGCCTGCCAAGAAAACAAACAGGTCTCAGAGAGGGTGAAACCAAGTTTCTTTTTGGAGGCTAGGATTCTGAAGCTCCATCTCACATACTTTGGGCATGTGGCGAGGATATCCCAGTCCTTGGAGAAGCACATCATGTTTGGTAGGGTGGAGGGCTAACCCATGAGAGAAAGACCTCAGATGCATACAGTGACTAAGGCAATGGGAGTGCCTGTGTCGAGTCAGTGAGACTGGCTCAGAACAGGGCAGGCTTCAGAGGTGTTGTGCATAGATAGCGTCACCATGAGTCGCAGGCGACTCAATGGCACATAACAACAACATAATCTTTATATGCCCAAGAATTCTTTGCAGTTAAGAATATGTGGCAATGCCTCTACTCAACTTATCCACAAGGATGTTTATTTTTCTTCTCAACCCTTTCCATCGTACCTGAACTACTCGCTGCTTTTAAAATAACTATCAACTTGGCTGCAGAGGCCATCCTGCAATGGACGGCACACATAAAAATTGTAATTCCAGGCAGGATTCTGTCACCTCTGATTTAACTGTCCCACTAAATGTGCAGAACTCCATGAGCCCCAAATCTGTGGCTCTGGGAGTCTCCTCTCCAGCCAAGCCTCTTTAAGCTCAGACAAGGTGCCAGACGGGTTTTAGCAATACAGCCTGCGAACGCTAGCGCGAAAACATGGAACCTGAACGCTGTTTAAAAAATTCCACCCTTAAAGGGGTGGTGGTGAGACCCTGGCTTAAGTTGGCGGCAGCACGGGTCAGGCACTGGTACACCTTCAAGCTTATACCGGCAAAGTTTCGATAAGTGGGATGAAAAGCCCAAACGGACCCCCCTCGGAAGTTGAGGCAACCAACCACTAAACTGTTCAATCTCCAAACCCAACCTCCATCACTCACCCCGGAATTACACCCCACGTCGAGCCCCAGGATCGGCTTCGTCTCAGAACTCTCGGGTGGAAAGAGCTGCCGGAGCAGCTCCGGGGGAAGAAGGCGGAGCCGTTGCTCTGGAGGATGGAAGCTGGAGTACTGAGGAAAATTTCCGAAAGGCGCAGCCCCGGGTTCCCGAACTAGCGATTTTCCCCCTGCAGTTGCCTCTTCGTCGCCCCCGCTGGGTGGATTCGTGGATGCCGCCATGAGCCTCAGCCCAGCCTCTGGGACCCTGCGGAACCGGAAGCCGGGAATTGGGGCTCGCGTGAGCACCGCCCGGGAAGCTAGTGCGCGTGCGCAGAATCACAAAAGCAGTGACGTTGGATGGGGTCAGTGAAGGACACTAAAATGACAATAAGAACAGAGCAAGGAAGCACTACATGGTTCAAACTCAGGAAAGGAGTGCGTCATTGATGCCTCTGTCTTTTCAATCTGTATGCAGAACAGAACCTTCGGGAGACAGCTTTATGAGGAGGAATGTGGCATCAGGATTGGAGGAAGACCCATCAAAACGTACGGTATGCAGATAACACAACGCTGCTTGCTGAAACTGAAGAGGCTCTGAAGCACTTGCTGCAGAAGGTCAAGGACTGCAGTCTTCAATATGGATTGAAGCTCAAGATCAAAAAGACAAAGATTCTTACCACTGGGCCAATTGACAGCACCATGATAGGTGGAGAAGATATTGAGGTTGTTAACAGTTACAGCTTGCTCAGCTCCACAGTCAACACTCTTGGCACCAGTCTTGAAATTAAAAGGTGAATTGCATTGGACAAATCTGCTCTCAGGGACCTTTCCAGAATACTGAGAAGCAACAATGTCAGTCTAGAAACTAAGGTGGGCCTGATCCAGGCCATTGTTGTTGTGTACCATAGAGCAGAACCGAACCATAGTTGACCCTCAGGCAAGTTTTCATTGGCAGTTGATCACACAAGAGGAGATTGTCCCTCTTTCTTCAGTGGAGCAACTGGTGGCCTTCAACTGCATGCCTTCAGGATTACAGCACAGCTTCTTAGGCCACCATAGATTCAGGCCATAGTCTTCACAATTACTTGCTATGCATCACAGAGCTGAATAGTGACTAAAGATGACAGAAGAGTCAATCAGGTTTGGAGTTGTGGTCCTGGAGAAGAGTCTTGAACATACTAAAGCTCGCCAAGAAAACAAATAGGTTTGTCTTGGAGAGGGTGAAACCACGTTTCTCCTTGGAGGCTAGGATTTTGCAGCTCTGTCTCATACACTTTGGGCATATGGCCAGGAGGAACTGAACCTTGGAGAAGTATATCATGCTTGGTAGGGTGGAGGGATAGCACAGGAGAGGAAAATTCTGAGTGAAATGGATTAACAGTAACCGGAGAAAGAGTGGTAGGTGTGTCGGAGTCAGACTGGCTCAGGACAGGGCAGACTTCAGAGCTGCTCTACATAGGGTCACTATGGGTCACAGGCGACAACAACATAGAAGGATACTACAGCAGTAGGTAATTCAATCTTAGCATGGTGGATTGAACAAATCCTTTATTAGTTGATTAGAAGAGATTTTTTTTCCATGTTCACAACTTGTTACCATTTTTGTTAGGCACTGATAAGTCAAGGAAGACTTGTAGTGACCAGTGAACAATGGCTCTGAACCCTGCCCTATCCTGAGACTCTACTTCACTGTCTCTGATGCACCTGATCACATTGCCACAGTCACTGTCAATCCATCTTATCCAAGGTCTTTCTTTCCTGCACTGAACCTCTACCCTTCCAAACATGATGACCTTCTCCAAGGACTGGTCTCTTCTGGCAGTATGCCCAAAGTATGCAGTGAGATGCAGTTTCAAAATCCTTGTCTCTAAGGAGCAACTTGGGTTTCACCCTTTCCAGGACAGACATGTTTGTTCCCTTGGTGGTCCCTGCCATATGTTCAGTACTCTTCTCCAGCACCACAACTAAAAGGCTTCATTTTTTCTTCTGTTACTCTTGTTTATTTTCCAATTCTTATATGCATAACAAGCATGAAGAGATCATGTCCTGGATCAGGTGCACCTCAATCTCTAGATTGACATTATTGCTCTTTAGCACACTGGAGTGGGCCTTGACAACAGATTTTCCCACTGCAAGTAGTCTTTTGATATCCCGACTGCTGGTGCCAAGGGTATTGATAGTGAATCCAAGCAAGATGAAATAATTAACAACTTCAATCTTTTCTCCATCTATCATGGTGCTGCCTATTGACCCAGGGATGAGGATCTTTGTTTTCTTGATGTTGAGTTGCAATCCATATTGAAGGCTGTAGTTCTTGATCTTCTGAAGTAAGCACTTCAAGTCTTCATCAGTTTAGGTGAGTAAGGTTGTGTCATCTGCATAATGCAGATGGTTGATAAGTCCCTCTCCAATCCTCAGGCCACATCCAAAAACAATTAGAACAGTACATTGACAGAGGACTGCCAGAAATTCAGGCTGGGTTTAGAAGAGGCCATGGCACTAAGAACATCATTGCTGATGTCAGATGGATATTGGCTGAAAGCAAAGGGTACCAGAAGGATGTCTATTTGTCTTTTATTAACTATACAAAGGCATTTGACTATGTTGATCACAGCACATTGTTGGTGACATTGAGAAGAATGAGAATACCAGAACACATATTATGCTTATGCAAAATCTGTACATAGACCAAGAACCTGTTGTCTAAACAGAGCAAGAGGACATTTAATGGTTTAAAATCAAGAAAGGAGAATGTTAAGGATTTATCTTTTCTCCATACCTTTTCAATCTATCTTGCTGTGCTACTGTTAACAAATGCTTGAAAATTTTTGTCAAGTTGAAGAATAAACTTCAATCATACAACAAACTGTGGCTGGCTCTGAGAAGAATGGGAATCCCAGAATATTTGATTGTGCTTATACAAAACCTATACTTGAACCAAGAGGCAGTCATCAGAATAGAGGAAGGAGACACTGGATGGTTCAAAATTGGGAAGGGTATACACCAGGAATATATTCTGTCTCCGTATCTTCTCAATCTGTATGTAGAACAGATCATCCAGGATGCTGGTTTGTACAAGGAGGAATGTGACATCAGGATTGGAGGAAGAGTCATCAATAACCTGCGTTATGCAGATGACACAACACTGCTTGCTGAAACTAAGGAGGACCTGAAGCACTTGCTGCAGAAGGTTAAGGACTGCAGCCTTCAATACAGATTGAAGCTCAACATCAAGAAAACAAAAATTTTCACCACTGGGCCAATTGGCAGCATCGTGATAGGTGGTGAAGAGATTGAGTTTGTTCACAGCTTTAGTTTGCTTAGCTAAAAAATCAACACTCTTGGTATCAGCAGCCAGAAAATCAAGAGACGAATTGCACTGGGAAAGTCAGCTGTCAGAGACATTCTCCAGAGTATTGAAGAGCAATGACATCAGACTGGAGACTAAAGTGCTCCTGATCCAGACCACCGTCTTCAAAATTGCATGTTATGCATCAGAGAGCTGGACGGTGACTAGGGATGATAGAAAGAGAATTGATGCCTTTGAGCTGTGGTGCTAGAAAAGAGTGTTGAATATACCATGGACTACTAAAAGAACAACAGGTTTGTCCTGTAGAGGGTGAAGCCAAGTTGCTCCTTGGAAGCATGGATTCTGAAACTTCATCTGACATACTTGGGCATGTTTCAAGATGGGACCAGTCCTAGGAGAAGGAGGTCATGTTTGGGAGGGTGTAGGGACAGCATGAAAGAGAAAGACCCTCGATGAGATGGATCGATTTCACTGATTAGGATAAAGGAATAGGTGTATCAGACAGTAAAGTTGGCACAGAATAGAGCAGGGTTTAGACTCTTGTACATACTATGTTGTACATACTATGAGTCGTAAGTGACTCAATGGCACATAACAACAACAACATGAGCTGTAAGACTGCAGAACATTTCAAATTTTCTTGTGTAAAAACTAATCTTACATATACTCTTGAAGTTGGCTATACCCATTAGCCAGTTTCTCTTTGGAAACCTTATTATAAATATATTATCTTTGATAATATCAGTGATTTGTGTAAAACCATCAAAATTTCATGTCAGTTCTGAAATATTTTATACAGTTCTCATCAAAAGAGGAAAGGTGCGTTTTTAATTAACTATACCTTATTGTTTAGTATGTTGCTGACAGGACAAAATTTCTTTGGATCATATTAAAAAAATTGCTCTGCTTACATTTTGTATGACTGACCATTGCAAGAATTTTCTTCAGCTTGAATTCTGGATTCTTATATTTTCAAACTTTGCTTTTCCTCCAACTCACAGTAAAATGATGGTATCAGACCTTGTCTAACTTCAAGAGAGATACTAGCCAGACTCTATAAGGTGAAGATCAGACTACAACCCTCAGCTCATTGCTGTCAAGTCAGAACCAAATCATAGCTAATCCTTCATTGGGTGTCTTGGGCTGTAAGTCACACAAGAGTAAATTAGCCTCTGCCCCACAAAAAAGAGTACCTCTCTTTCTCCCTCATAGCTGCTGGTGGATTCAGATGTGAAAGAGGCACAGCCTTTGGCTTATTAGTGCAATTGACTATAAACTGGGCCAGCAGAGCACTAGAGTTAGAAAGGGGGATATAATAACCATCAAGAAAGATGAATCAGAAGCAGAGTGCATCCACTGGGCCCAGACTCCCTGTACTAGTGAACCCTCTTGATTTAGAAGACTAGAATCAGCAAGAAATGGCAAGAAACAGCAACAGAGGCAGCAGAACGAACTAGGAGACAGTGTGGTGGGATTCTGGGACTGCGAAATGAGTAATCTGCCCTTTGGGCAAGAGGTTTGTTGGTGCAATAGGGTACCTTTGGATACTTGCTGCCAGATGAAAGAGCTTTGTAATACTTGCTAAGGAGGGAAGAGGTCAAGAGGTCTCTAAAGAGTAGAAAGGGGTCTGAGAGAGGCCTGTTTTCAGGCATGGCTAAGAAGAGGCTATGCTAGTCAAAGAATTGTATCCTGAGTGTTTATGAACCTGAATTGTAACCTGTTATTTCCCCAATCAACACAATAATTATCAGCATTTCCTGTAAGTTCTGAGAATCCATTGCAAAGAATTACTGAACCCAGGAAAGGAGCAGAGAATGTGATGTGAAGCAAGTTTGGTGTCAGAATTGGTAAAAAGATTAGTGAGAGGAAGTATGTCTGATCTCTGCCTCAGAGGACTCAGTCTTCGCTGTTATTCTTGATTTTCTTTAGT